GTTGTAAGGCTTCTAAAGCCTTGTCATCATATACTGTACTATGTTGTCTTTTTTACTGAGTGACCATTGCTCTACTGTACAATATCTGCCTTCTTGTGACTTGATGAACCACACTGTAAAAGGTAAAAATCAATAAAGAAGTTTAAAAAAACGGAGCAGCAGCAATTGCTCAAGACTAGCACTGGACCCTGAAAAACTAAAACCCTGAAAAAAAGGTTTTCCTACAGTGCCATCTCGTGGTGCTTAATTTTAACACCAAAGGCATTATTGAATGCTTGTAAAGTCACATGACTAAAGCTCTGCTCTTGGGGGTGACGTACAAAACTGTATTTGGGGAATTGCACACCTGACACTGTACAGTTTCTGACACAAACCGCCACAGAAAGGTCAGAGGAAAATGTCTTGAAGGGAGAAAGGAAACATTTCTAGTCAATGTACATGCTTCAAGTATAGTCTTTGCTGCTGACCTGAGCTGTACCCAGTTCTTTAAGGAGAAAGCACAGAGAAAGCGGGCTGGTTTAGCCACACAGTTTTGCACCTACCAATTCTGGAAGAAGGGCATGCTACAGTTACGAGTAGCTGTGACTGCAGGTAAACTGATATTATTACCAACAGTTCTGGGATGTACAGAGGGATCTAGAGAAACCAAGACATTTTAAGATGATAAAGTCAAAATCAGGCCAAGGCAATTTTACAACAGGCATAGAAAGACCCTTTGCATAATGGAGCTGTTTGAAATAGAGAACCTGATTTTGCAGATACATTTCCAAACAAGTGTAGCACTTACTACTCTTAAACTACTAGGAACTCTTCCATGCACTGGGGAGGAAAGTGGGATAATGGATCCCCAAATTAGGAGACAGGAAAGGTATGTGACATCAGCATGCTTTCTGTAAAACATCTTGCTAGTTACTAGAAGCTAAAACCTGCAAAGCAGTCACAAGTGAGGAGAAAATGATCTTCTAAATAAAGATATTATAGCTTGTATAAGTGTGGGCACGTCCCAGAGGACTACCCGTGTACATGATATAATTAACAGGAAGAAGGCTTAGATACAAATCTATAGAAATCATTTTACCAACTTGGAAACAGGTGGACTTGGGAAAGGTGTTGCAATCTGTACTGATATAAAGGTGGAAAGTTACTCCCCACTGTACACAGCAAACCATCAACAAGCAGAAAGCAACAGCCACCCTGTAACTCAAGATGCTATCAGAGTGTAAGCAATTTAAGGGCAAAAAAAGTGAGGGTGAGCAGGGGGACTTCTTTCTTGTATCCCAGAGAGGGAGTAGATAGTCTAGAGAACTGAAGAGAGAGCCTGCATTGAGGGGCTTAGCCCTCAAACAGGTATACAAAAGAGTTAATAAGCTGCTGTTAATTGCCCTGCAATGCCAGAGGCAACTATCCAAAGAGAGGAGCTAAGCAAGGGGAGACCAGCTCAGGGTATGTCTACATGGCACACTGCAGTGCAGTGCAGAGACACCTGAGCTGGCTCTAACTGCTGGAAGCATCTAGCCAGCACGGAGACCTGCTCCACTGGCATGCACAGAGCTCCCTGCTAGTGTTGCGGCTTCTAACTGAGCTAGTTAGCTCTACATTATGCTTGGAGTAAAGTTTGGGGCTGTATACCCTCAGTTGAGAGGCTAAAAGAAAAGGAGGACCTCAAGCTCTGACTGCGGGAGCCAAGGAAGGGGACAGGCCTGGCAGGACGTTGGCCTCATTTGACTGCCAATGGCCAACTGAGGTTGTCTCAAGCCCAGGCAGGGCAGCAGCAGTTATTTCCTCTGTGCTCTGCAGAGATTGAGAGGATCGAAGATAGGGTTACCATATTTCCAGTTTCAAAAAAGAGGATACCTGTTGTGGGGAGGGGTAATATGATTGGGGGGGGGGCAGTGATATGCCCCTCACTCCCAACCCACAGTACCCTGCCCCCCAGACCATGCTGGTGCCCCTCACTCCCAACCCGCAGCCCCCCTGTCCCTGCTGATACCCCTCACTCCAGACCTGCAGCCCCCTGGCATTGCCTGTGCCCCATGCTCCTGACCCCCCAGTGCCCTTCTCTCCCAAGCCACAGCCCCCCAGCCCTGCCAGTGCCCCTCATTCCCAACCCTCAGCCTCCTGCTCCCTCCAACCCTGCAGCATCTCCCAGCAGCCCTGCCCCTGCAAGCAGAGGTACTGGCCCCAATGCCACTGGCTCAGCCACACAGCTCATTGCTGCCCACAAAGAGTCCACCCACCCCTTCCCCTGCTGAAGGAGCAGGAACCTCCCCGGCCCTGCTGCAGCCCCAGTGCCCAGACCGTTTGCCCCAGCACCAGCAGGCATCCGCCCCCCCGCCCACACACCTATTCCCTCCACACCCCCACACACACACACACACCCCTGCCACAGTCCCCAGGCCCTGGCGCTCCAACCCCTTCCCCCCCATACACTTCCCTGCATCCAGCTGCTGGGGCTGCTCCCACCACTCGGCCTGGCTGCCTGCCGGCCACGTGCATGTGTATGCACCAATGCACATGATGCTCCCTGCCTCCAACTGCCCTCCACCCGCTCCTCCCAGCCCCAAGCAGCTCCTTGCTAGGGCGAACTGGGAAGTGCTGGGAAAAAGGTCAACACTGAGCAGAGCAAAATCTCAGACATCTGTTGATATTTTAAAAAAACATCCAGACAGAGATAGGAGTACCTAAAACGAGGACAGGTCTGAGAAAACCTGGACATATGGTAACTGTAATCAGAGTTTGCAGAGGACAGAGCCTGGCAGGGCCAGAGATCATTTCCTTATGTTTCATTAGGAATCTGGGTCACCTGGAATAGGTGAAACTTGTACCGCCTACCTTGTATTGCGCACTTCTTGACTTAGAAGATGCTTGGAAGTGTGATGGAATAGCTGAAAGACTTGGAGAGAAATGGAGGCAGTGGAGTTGTTACACCGTACCCTACCAGCAAAGAGTGCCCAGGGAACATAAGGGCCATGGAGCTGATAATGAACACTGACCAAGGACTATTTCAGTGGAAGCTCTGCAACTAAATGTCCTCACTGGCTTGGAATAGGCTACTTACAGGCAGCCAAGTGTCAGAACAGATGAGACACTGGAAGCAGTGGGGGAATACATCTACCATGGCAGGGAACCAAGACAGCAAGAACGGTGCAGAATTTATGGAGGCCTTGTGCAGCTCCCCACAATGAGGACCCCACAGGTTGGACCGGTACATTTTCTCCTGGCCATCCTAGCCAATGTGCTCCAGACTGTAGTCCAGAGAGAGAGAGAGAGAGAGAGAAGAAGCTCAGCTCTACCATGTTCCTGTTCCTTGTAGTGCCTGGCAATGGACCATATTTTTTGCTTACATCAATTTTACTGTGGTGCTGCCAGACATACTTATTGCAGCTGTGCTGCCTGTTTTGCTGTTAAATACAGTTGTTTTACCAGCATGTCTCTCTTTGTCAAAACGTTGTGCAATGTGGAAAGCAGTCATGCTGTCAATGATATCTAAACAAAAGGAGTTTATCACCCTTCAAATGAAAATCGCAAAGCACCAAATGAAAGCCTGACTTTCTCCACAGTGCAGATCTGTATTCCATTATCACCACCAGCCACCGGGATTTGTCACATATACTTTTCCACTACGACAGTGACCCTAAATTCAGGTACTAAAGGATTGTTCTTTATCTTGGTCAAGCTACCCAGAGGCATACATCACAATTCATGTAAACAGCGTCCAGCAACAGCATGCACACTATGGAGAAGTTGGATCTAAAACACAAACAGAGTCTGGTTCAGTCATTCCCTCCATCCCTCCCCTATCCCCCCGCCCCAGCTCCCCTATGCGACACCAAAACTAGGCTCCTT